AGGTCTGCTAACACACACTTGCAAACCCCTTTTCCCCCATAGACTCCTTCACGAAGTCGCGATGTCAGGCAAGGACGTCACTGATTCCTCCGTCGGAACAAAAAAACAGTGTATGTTTATTTTGGCATGGAAATTCCTCCGCTAGCCAGGCCACGTAAAATGCACTTCTTCGTACTCCGAGTCCTCCGCCAAGCAAAGACATCTTAGTGCGACAAAACTTTCATCCTGCTGATGCTCACCCGCGACTAAAAACGAGAAGGCACCCGTCCAAAAAACCCTCCTACGTGTGACACATGCTGGCCTGGCCGAATGCTGGCCTGGCCGAACTAGCGGTCTTGGAATGCATGCCCTCACCCACGACTAAAAGCGAGTAGGCACCCGTCCAAAAAAACCTCCTCCGTGTGACACATGCTGGCCTGGCCTGGCCGAGCTAGCGGTCTTGGAATTCATGCTGCGCCAGGACGAAAGTTCGTCGCATCCGGTAGGTCTGCTAACACACACTTGCAAACCCCTTTTCCCCCATAGACTCCTTCACGAAGTCGCGATGTCAGGCAAGGACGTCACTAATTCCTCCGTCGGAACAAAAAAACAGTGTATGTTTATTTTGGCATGGAAATTCCTCCGCTAGCCCGGCCACGTAAAATGCACTTCTTCGTACTCCGAGTCCTCCGCCAAGCAAAGACATCTTAGTGCGACAAAACTTTCATCCTGCTGATGCTCACCCGCGACTAAAAACGAGTAGGCACCCGTCCAAAAAACCCTCCTCACACATGCTGGCCGAACTAGCGGTCTTGGAATTCATGCTGCTCACGCGCGACTAAAAACGAGTAGGCACCCGTCCAAAAAACCTCCTCCGTGTGACACATGCTGGCCTGGCCAAACTAGCGGTCTTGGAATTCATGCTGCTCGCCCGCGACTAAAAACGAGTAGGCACCCGTCCAAAAAACCTCCTCCGTGTGACACATGCTGGCCTGGCCGAACTAGCGGTCTTGGAATTCATGCCTCGTCCAAAAACCTCCTCCGCGTGACACATGCTGGCCTGGCCAAACTAGCGGTCTTGGAATTCATGCTGCGCCAGGACGAAAGTTCGTCGCATCCGGTAGGTCTGCTAACACATACTTGCAAACCCCTTTCCCCCAAAGACTCCTTCACGAAGTCGCGATGTCAGGCAAGGACGTCACTAATTCCTCCGTCGGAACAAAAAAACAGTGTATGTTTATTTTGGCATGGAAATTCCTCCGCTAGCCAGGCCACGTAAAATGCACTTCTTCGTACTCCGAGTCCTCCGCCAAGCAAAGACATCTTAGTGCGACAAAACTTTCATCCTGCTGATGCTCACCCGCGACTAAAAGCGAGTAGGCACCCGTCCAAAAACCCTCCTCCGTGTGACACATGCTGGCCTGGCCGAATGCTGGCCTGGCCGAACTAGCGGTCTTGGAATGCATGCCCTCACCCGCGACTAAAAGCGAGTAGGCACCCGTCCAAAAAACCTCCTCCGTGTGACACATGCTGGCCTGGCCGAACTAGCGGTCTTGGAATTATGATGCTCACCCGCGACAAAAAGCGGAGCTAGGCCCCGTTCCAAAAACCCTTCCTCAGTGTGACAATGCGGGCCCTGCCGCCCCAATGCTGGCCTGGCCAAACTAGCGGTCTTGGAATTCATGCTGCTCGCCCGCGACGAAAAACGAGTAGGCACCCGTCCAAAAAACTTCCTCCGTGTGACACATGCTGGCCTGGCCAAACTAGCGGTCTTGGAATTCATGCTGCGCCAGGACGAAAGTTCGTCGCATCCGGTAGGTCTGCTAACACATACTCGCAAACCCCTTTCCCCCATAGACTCCTTCACGAAGTCGCGATGTTTGGCAAGGACGTCACTAATTCCTCCGTCGGAACAAAAAAACAGTGTATGTTTATTTTGGCATGGAAATTCCTCCGCTAGCCAGGCCACGTAAAATGCACTTCTTCGTACTCCGAGTCCTCCGCCAAGCAAAGGCATCTTAGTGCGACAAAACTTTCATCCTGCTGATGCTCGCCCGCGACTAAAAACGAGTAGGCACCCGTCCAAAAAACCTCCTCCGTGTGACACATGCTGGCCTGGCCGAACTAGCGGTCTTGGAATTCATGCCCCGTCCAAAAAACCTCCTCCGCATGACACATGCTGGCCTGGCCAAACTAGCGGTCTTGGAATTCATGCTGCTCACCCGCGACTGTGACTAAAAACAAATAGGCACCCGTCCAAAAAACCTCCTCCGTGTGACACATGCTGGCCTGGCCGAACTAGCGGTCTTGGAATTCATGCCCCGTCCAAAAACCCTCCTCCACGTGACACATGCTGGCCTGGCCAAACTAGCGGTCTTGGAATTCATGCTGCTCGCCCGCGACTAAAAACGAGTAGGCACCCGTCCAAAAAACCTCCTCCGTGTGACACATGCTGGCCTGGCCGAACTAGCGGTCTTGGAATTCATGCCCCGTCCAAAAAACCTCCTCCGCATGACACATGCTGGCCTGGCCAAACTAGCGGTCTTGGAATTCATGCTGCTCACCCGCGACTAAAAACAAATAGGCACCCGTCCAAAAAACCTCCTCCGTGTGACACATGCTGGCCTGGCCGAACTAGCGGTCTTGGAATTCATGCCCCGTCCAAAAACCCTCCTCCGCGTGACACATGCTGGCCTGGCCAAACTAGCGGTCTTGGAATTCATGCTGCTCGCCCGCGACTAAAAACGAGTAGGCACCCGTCCAAAAAACCTCCTCCGTGTGACACATGCTGGCCTGGCCGAACTAGCGGTCTTGGAATTCATGCCCCGTCCAAAAAACCTCCTCCGCATGACACATGCTGGCCTGGCCAAACTAGCGGTCTTGGAATTCATGCTGCTCACCCGCGACTAAAAACAAATAGGCACCCGTCCAAAAAACCTCCTCCGTGTGACACATGCTGGCCTGGCCGAACTAGCGGTCTTGGAATTCATGCCCCGTCCAAAAACCCTCCTCCGCGTGACACATGCTGGCCTGGCCAAACTAGCGGTCTCGGAATTCATGCTGCGCCAGGACGAAAGTTCGTCGCATCCGGTAGGTCTGCTAACACATACTCGCAAACCCCTTTCCCCCATAGACTCCTTCACGAAGTCGCGATGTTTGGCAAGGACGTCACTAATTCCTCCGTCGGAACAAAAAAACAGTGTATGTGCATTTTGGCATGGAAATTCCTCCGCTAGCCAGGCCACGTCAAATGCACTTCTTCGTACTCCGAGTCCTCCGCCAAGCAAACATCTTAGTGCGACAAAACTTTCATCCTGCTGATGTACTACTACTACTACGACTGCTGCTGCTACTACTACAACTACTACTGCTACCAGTTGGTACTGCTACTGCTACGACGACGACTACTACTACTGCTACTGCTACTGTGGATGGAGGATATCTTGCCCGCTGTGAAGATACGTCAACTAGCTTCACCCGCGTTATGAACGCGGAGCTTTGCAAAATCGTTTCACTGACACAAATCTTGCACCGCCCAATTGAAATCCGTCGTCCATGTCAAAAAGGAAGCACGGGGTCATTGCTTGGAGGCGTACCCGAATCAGAATGTAGGTTTGAAAAGCTTCCTTCATCCACCGAATCGAGTGATGACATCTCCAAAGAGTTGACATGCGAGAGCTTTTCCGAGAGTCGAAGCTACAGGACATATTTTTGGGTTTGAGTGGGGGGTCATCTTGGTCACCACTCGTACCAGTAGCACTTGCACCCGTCGTACCATATGTGCCACTTGCAAGCCTTCCCAGGCACCACCAAAATTGCCAAAGTGTGGCTTGTTTTGCTCAGTTCGCCGGATTTCAATTGTTTTGTGCAGGCACATTTTGTGGGTTTGCTGAATCCACAAATGGAATTGTCGTGGTTTGAGCGCGCCCTGCAGGTTTTGGCGACCAGCAGGAAAGCATCAGGACACTGCCAGATCTGCCAGAATGTTGTTTCTCCATTAACGGTAGGGCTGGCCTAAACCCTAAACTGATGCGTGTGCCGACCACGCGTAGCCCTAAGCCCTAAACCCTAAACCTCTCTGTCATATCGTGGGCAAATTCGATTTCTTCGTGCGCAATGCCGATGTCTCCTTGGGCAACGGCGATTTTTCGCCGGGCTTGTTTTGAGCCTCCCCAATAAGCAGAGCATACTCTTACTGTCCCACGCCCCACTAAGCGAAACACTTCTATCAATACAAAGTTTAAGATTTAACCCGCAGGGTTCAGGATTTAGGCTTTAGGGTCCGGGGAGTTAAGCCCGAAGCGCAGGGGTTCGAGAGTAAAATTGTTCCTACTGTTATGGGAATCTTGTGAGTGGGTGGGATGATTTCCGATTCCAAAATAAAAGATCGAGCTCGACTAGAAACTGCTCGAACTGGAGCTGCTGAACCCTAAACACTAAACCAATGCATGCCGGGCGCGCCCCTAAACCCTGAAATCCTAAAACTCGAGCTCTAAGCCGCGCACTTTCCTAGGTGGGCGGCACTTAAGCCCTTCAACCTCCATTGAACTGACCGACCCAAAATACCAGCCATGGTAGCAACCACGTTCTCCTCGAAACCAGTGCTGGTCCCTTTAATGTGATTACCCGGATTTTGGGTCCCTGCCTGCCAGGCCTTGTGTGTCGGAACCGTCGTTTTCGCGGTTTTGGCATGAGTTTTGGCCTTCTATACTCAGGCGATCCACTCGACGCAGCCTTGTTGCAAGATACATGCCATCGCACGGCAAACCCGAAACCTTACCCCTTAAACCCTAAACCGATGCGCGGGCCGGGCGTGCGCTTAACCATTTTGCGGAGCTCCTCCTCCTCCTCCTCCTCCTCCTCCAACTACCACTACTACTACTACTACCACTACCACTACCACTACCACTACCACTACCACTACTACTACTACTACTACTACTACTACTACTACTACTACTACTACTACTACTAGTGCTACTACTGCTCTAGGACCAGAAGCGTCACCAGAACAGCTAGCGCTACCAACAACAACCCATGCAAGGAGCAGAAAGCCGAAATCCAATCGTAGTGTAATCGTAGTCTTCGTTTCCAATCCCGGCCTGGAGGACGGAGCCCCGGCGGGGCACCCAGCCACGGGCCTCTCCCAGGCGCCTCCAGGCGAGGAGACCGGCGTCCAGAGCCTCTGTGAGAAGGGGGCTAAGGTCTACTTTTGGGGCTTTGGAGCTGCGATTCTGGATCGTATTAGGAACGGAACGGGGAGGGTGACATGGAAGTTAAGATGCTGAACGTATGAGCATCATTTGCCGATGCAATCACTGGACTAGACATGTCCCATATTATGTGTCCTACAGACGGACGAAAGTTAAAGCTAGCAATCTTGTGTCCACTTGAACTGGCCTCACCCTCCGCCCGGAATGGCGGAGTCACCAAAGGCCTTTTCGCAATTCGATTCTGGTAAGCATTTCGGTCCGGCCCACGGTTGGGCAGCTCCGTGATTTCCGAGAGCTGCGAGAATGTTCGTTTCGCATCTTTTCGCGAGAACGAACATGATACGAGTGCTTCCGGCAAATCGGACTCGCGTGACATGCAGGCCCCACGCCTGGACCAAAGAGGAGCCAAGCAAATGCAAAAGCGCAGACCCATGGCCTCAGCTGTGTGGTATGAAGCACAGGGGTGCGGCGTGCCAACTATCGTCAACCTTGGCAGCAGACGCCGGGGTTCAGCTTGTGTTCATCCAGAGATGATCTCAATTCTTGTCGAAACCTTTGCACAGATGGCATCGAATTTGCTTGTCGGTCGCACAGTCGTCACAATCGTTGACTGCGAGAGTGTTCTGGACGACATGGTGGGTTCCAGCCTCTCTTCGAAAGAAGCCTGTGCAACACCCTCCATACGCTTCTTGAAGGCAACCTTGTCGAGATGAAGGGCTGTCATTGGATGTCACTGGGCTCCATGTTTGCAGCCCACTCAGGGCCCCGCCAAAGCGGCGTGAAATACTTTCACTACCTGCTCGTGGCCGGACAGGCTCCCCGCCAGGTGAAACAGAGAAAGTCGACCGAAGCTATGCACTGCTGTGTCACATGGTCAAGCAGAGCTTTGACAAGCAAGGATTTGACGGCATGCTTTGATCCAGCGCAACGCATTCCAGACAGCAGAGTATTGAAGGATTAACAACGCAAAGGCGTGGTCTGATGTTCCAGTGCCACGTTCAGTGCATGCCTGAAGATCACGATGCTCTCGTGTGAGGAGGCGGATGCGTCCGACAGTCAGCACCACGGAGTAGTATCGCTCCTCATACGACACACGTTGCGGAGTGACACAGCCGGCCGCGGCTATGTCCGAGAAAAACCGCTTGGCGACTTCTGCGGGCTAGGCAATCGAGGCTCCTCTCTGCCTTGGCGAGAGTGGACGATCAGTCCCGGCTGATGCCTTGTAAGAGACAGGCCGAGTTGAGATGAAACTAGCACAGATTATGACTATACAATCAGCTCAGAAATTGTGAACTTAAGCCATCCGCGGAAGACCGTTCTTGAGTCTGCACAAAGCTGCAAGTGAGGCCTGAAGACTCAGGATGAAATATCAAGGAGGCACGCACGCATTCTTGCTTTTCAGGAAAAGTGCCTTCTTGGAGCTTTTGGATGGCTTCTGATGCTTCTTTCTTGCCTGAATATGCACTTCGCATTACCTGGCGGCTGCTTTTTTCGAATGCTGGCCTTCCGCACGTCCTGCTTACACAGTGTCCTGGCGCGAGCTCATTATGCACTGGACTTGGCACGTACACGCCCTCGTTTGCAGCCACAGAATTTTTATTCTGTAGAGCAAACCTCTCGCTGTTTGTCGCTGACCTCGGAAGAGGCGATCTGCACGATACCACAGAGCGAGACAACCTTGGTCACTCGCATGCGTCTTTTATTGGATTTTACCGAATGCCGCTGTCCAGTCTTGCATGCCAGCAGCATCCAGCGCTCGAAGTCATAGCGTTGAGCTTCTGTGAATCGCGTTTCCAGCACGGTGCGGCGCACCTGGTGATTCAAGCCTCGCAGTTCCAGCTCATGCATTTCATGCAATGCCAATGTGTGGCTATGACACGTGACAGGACAAATCTCGGCATGGCGATGTAAGTTTGACTCGGACTGCTCAGCCCTCCAACATACAGTGTGCTTCCAAGGACGTGACGCTGCAACAGCCTGTGTAAGCCTGCCAGGTTTCTGCACCGAAACGGCCATCTTGCAAGACTGCAAGAGTCATGCGACGCGGGCCTTTCAGGAGGGCACCAATGCGGTGACCTGAGGACATGCTGAATTGCCAATAGAAGCTCTCACAGCACCTTTTTAACATACACACCCACCCACACGCTTCGCTTCGCTTCTCGGGGAAAAGGTCCACTAGGTGGACCCGCCCCTAGGCGCCCCCCTCCCCGACCCACACACTCTCCCTCGCTCTTTTTTGTCCCAAGGGCTAGGGGCAAAGGGACCATCCCATGCGCATTCACGTTTTGTGCGCGTCTTGTGGTCCGGCGGTGCCACACAAATACATGCGAACGCGCACAGACAGACAGACACGCACACACGCACGCACGTGCGCATGCACGCACGTACGCATGCACGCACACGCACACGCACACGCACGCACACGCACACGCACACGCACACGCACACGATCGCACACGCACACGCACACGCACACGCGCACACGCCCACACGCACACACGCACACGCGCACACGCGCACACGCGCACACGCGCACACGCGCGCACGCGCACACGCGCGCATGCGCACACGCGCACACGCGCACACGCGCGCACGCGCGCATGCGCGCACGCCCACCCGCGCCACCCACGAACCCCCCCGCCACCCGCACCCCGCCCCCATACCCCCATCACACCCCACCCACCCCCACAACCCCAACAACCCCCACACACCCCCACACACCCCCACACCCCACACCCACACCACCCACACACACCCCACACAACCCACCACAACACACACACCCACACCCCCCACACCACACCACACACCACACACACACCACACACACACCACACACACACACACACACACCACACACACACCCACACACACACACACACACCACACACACCACACACACACACCACACACACCCACACACACCCACACACCCACACACACACCACACACACCCACACACCACCCACACACACCCACACACACCCACACACCACACACCCACACACCACACACACACACACACAACACACACCACACACACACACACACACACACACACACACACACCACTTGCTTATGCCCGCATTCTCTCTCTCGCTCGCCCTTTTTCCGCAGGCCTAAGAGACGGGGAGGGACCCCGTGTCGCCTGCTTTGAATGATAACTTCGATGCGAGAATGGTTGACCTTGTTTTTGTATGTTTCTATTTGGGGCTTCTTGATTTCTCGAATGGTTCTGGTATGTTCTGGTGCTAAATTTCACGAGTCAGCCGGGTTTGACAGAAACATACAGAAACAAATTATAACTTTCTGGGATCCCCAAGCAAGACTCACGGGTCTGGTCGCATTTTGGATAGGTGGGGCAAGTGATTTTGTGTCCGCATGTTCGTTTGTCTTTGACATCAGGTTTGAGCGGCAATCATGAAGTCGACAAGAAAAGCCTGAACGGGGTGTTAATGACATGAGCGCGCATCAGTAGGTGTCCGTATTGAAGTATTGAAAGCTTCAAACTCTGTGAACACGTTTAGCCTTGTCCGGGTACACCAACATGAAAAAGGCAGTTCTTTTGTTGTCATTCTGCTATTCAGTGAAGTGGGTGATCACCAGATGCAGCCTCTGCGAGTGTGATGAGGAGCAGAAAGAACGGCAGGAGCGGGAGCAGCAACAGCACAAGTCGTCACAGGTACCTAAGGTAGCCGGATGGTAGGAGCAGCTGTTCATTCGAAAAGATTTCTGCGGCCTTATTTGATTCGCGCCCCCGTGTTGAACTGCTCAGCCGGTTGTGGCAGCGGCCCCCCGGTTACCGACATTGCAAATATGGTTCGTGCTGTCCATATCATCATATCCATGTCATTTCTATGCTTATACTCATGACGAGCCTCAAGGTGGGTCCCTGAAGCGAAATGGGCCGCAGCTTCTCAGCTTCGAACGAGTGCCGTGCTGGCTTAAGCGGTCTCATCTGACTAACGGCAAATTAACGATTGCGGTCTACGAGGCATTGCTTGTCAACAACACATTTTGTGGTTTTGTTCTTGATCCGCAAAACGCGTAAGTCGCGCAACAACTATTTTAGCAACCGCACGTGTTAAAAACATACCGGTATTCAACACAACAGTGGCAACTAGTTGCAGCAACGAAGTCCCCATTCCGATCCATTTCGTGCTGGAGCCAGTGGAGGTGGCCTTGTTGGGATCACTATGTAAGGCTCTATCGGTGGCCGGGCGGCTGCAGCTTCTATGGCCGATCCTGCCTGTGGCGCCACCAGTCTCGATGCCCTGAGAAACAGCGAAAAAGGCTTTGGCAGACTACCCCAAGAAGTTGTACAGTTATACTCTTACTGACTGAGCTCCCCATATAAGGCCCGACCCGTCAAATTTCGCAGGTTTTGGGGGCTGTGCCTTCGAAATGCTCGAAGTGCCTGAAGCACCCTACAAGTTTGCGAGGCCCCTCAAGCTCGTCCGTCTGGGGGGGGATACTGGACCGCAGCCCACACTTGCAAACACAATGCCCGACTGAGCGGCTTGGAAAAGCTTTGTCTGGGGATTGACGCACACCTTGTCGACCGCATGCAGTTTTTCACCCTTAGCTTTGCAGTGTGTTTGCTTTGAAGCTGCCCCTTCTGCGGGAGTTCCCACTACGGGGTCCGCAGGCTGTGTGATGCACAGTTTACTTTCTTTCTTTCTTTTGCCAGGCTTGAGGGCGCACCCTCGTGGGGTACGCCTGTCTGTTGGCGGGACACCAGGAAGTTTCCACAGAAAGCGCTCCGACAAACTTCAGGCATTGTGGCGAAAACCGCATGTGTGAACTCACAGCAGCGAGGAATGTGTATCTTGTTTTCTCTTTCTTTCCCCATTGCTGTGGTAGCCTCTTGTGTTTTGTCTCTCTCTCGCTCTCTCCTCATGCCGCTTGAGCTGGGCCGGCCGACCCTTGTCAGCAGGGCATTTCTGGCAGATCCTGACAGTAGTTGTGCAAGCCTTGGCGCAAGGACAAAATGTCTCCTGCGGTCCTTGTGGGAGCCGTGGTGGCGTCTGGTCGCAGCAGCCCCGCTGAGATCTGCTCGGATCCTAACATCCATGCTCCACACAACAAAAAATGCAACACACCAACTATCGCACAATGCCGCCTTCACACGTGGCCTCATGGCCGCCATGAAGCTCCACGCTCCTGTCAGGCATCAAACTTGAGAGATTCCTTGTGCCATATCACCCATGAAGCTTTCTAGAACGCCGCCTGCTTTGGCGATCCACTGCGTCGATCTCAAGCAGGCCCTTTTGAGCTCTGCTCTGTCGGCAGCAATGATCTCTCTGGCCTGTTCAAGTTCTGCTGGTCGTTATAAGGAAAGATTCCTCACACGGCCCTACATCATCGTGTGAGGTTCCATTCTTTATTTGGTGCGACGATCGTTCAAGTGACCAGCTTCAATGGAAGAGGCACAAATGGTTTGCAAAGTGCCTGGAGAGCTCGGCAAAGCAGAGGCCAAGGTTGTGGTTGCCATGCTCCGGACTCGGAGCCGATCTGTCCAGCAGGCAGCGAAGGTGAGACTTGCCAAAACATGCCAATAGTTGAGCATGGTCTCTGGTTCTAAGACTTGGAAAGAGCAAACATGCTGACGGCCCCGCCGTTGTTCTTCGACGTTCTTGGTGTAGGCTTGCATAGCCTCTACAGGGGACACTGCTCGCCACGTTCTGCAACACACCCGGGCGAATGAAACATCGAGAGCAAAATCCACTACACTTTCTCTGCTCTCATGAATACCTTAATTGTTGACCGAAGGTGCCCGCATCCTGCCTGGAGTCTAATCACCTTGTTTGCGCGACGGAAGCATCAGCGGCTGCTGAACACTGTGCTTGACTCTCTTTGTTGCCAAGATACGCCGGCGCCACCGGCGCGACCGGTGGTGGTGGCGGGCGCGGCCCTGGCGGTGGCGGTAGCGAGCACCTGAACGCTGCGTAACGCCTCCAAAGCCTTTGGATCCTTTCGGAAACCGATTCCCGTGTGCTGAGCAGTCAACTCTGCCAAAATGCTGTCGCCTTGGCTCGCAGAGGTTCCCAGTTGCCTGTGATTCTTGTGCAGAGTTGTCGTGGCCGCACATCTGCCAAGACACACGAGATGGTTCCGGTAAAGTCGAGAACGGAAGACATCATGATGGTCCTGTACAGCTGGACATCTGCTACTATGAACTTCACTCCACACAACAGAACTCAGGCCGCAACATGATTTTCTGAAGGACAGAGACAAGGCCAAGGTGGCCGGCTGCGGCAGTTTCTCTGAGCCACGGCACAATACAGCTAAGTCTGGCGAAAGCCGTTGCAGAACAACGCTTGCGCTTGCTGAAGGCAGTTGACCTTATGGTGAGGGAATTCCGGTTCTCGATTTGGGCTGAACACTGGTTGGTGGCGTGTGGGACACGTTCAAGCCAGAAACGGAAAAGTGCCCTTCCTGCTGTTTTATTGCCAGACCATATGTTTCAATCTCGCGGGAAGTAGCGTGAAGCGAAGTATGCTGTTCTGACTTAGCCAGAAGTGCAAAATTTGATCAATCTCTTCACTCTTTGAGTGTCGGAGAGCTCGGATAAAGCAATGTCGCTCGGAATGGAGATTGTCACGTCTGGGACTCTGGAACCAGATACTGCAAAGGAGGGTTTGTGTCTACTGTAAGTATGAAGATTGTAGCCTCCTGACATCGCCAAACTCACATCTTGCGCTCGTGCAGAAGCACGAACTTCGCAAATTGGCCGTGGGTCCAACTCCATCATCCTGCAGTCCTGTAAAGCCGTCGCTCGGCCACACATTCTCTAACGGCAGCGTCATGAAGAGGCTTTCACTCACATTCTGCAAGCTTTCCAGACTGACCCATGGCATGAGAGAGCAGGGCCATGCTCGCTTGCAGCACCAGCTCTCCCACTGCATCCCTTCCATCTACACTCTGCGGGGCGGTTGGACAAGGCTCCTCCAACGGCATGGTTTCTACGTCATCTGCTGAATCAAACTCGGGCTTCAGCACAGGATGCTGCGTTTGGACTGGCTCTCCAGCGATTACATGTCCAGTGATAATATCGCTCTGCGGTTCTCGCCGGCTAGCCTCCGACACTTCTGGAGGTTGCGCCTCCACTTCTTGCGTGCCAGGCGGGTGCAATAAGCGGGGGAACCACTCCGGCACCTCTCTCACGCTCGAAGGCTGGGGAGGCAGAGGAAGGGTGACGAATGTGGGACTCTCTGCACGCAAGGCCACAGGTCCTGCTGCAACACGGGGTCCCCCCTGCAACATCAGCTGGATGCACTCGCCCCCCTCCAAATTGTAAAATTCGAGTGTGTGCTGATTCTGGAGTCTTCTGCCTGTATGGAACAGTATTTGCTGCTCCGGGCTCACTTGGAAGAAGTCTTTGAGTTTTTCTTTGAGTTGGCCAATAGTACGAGCCTTCTGCAACCAAAGACGCTGCTTGCGTTGCGGTGGCCATGTCTGCAGAATCGTCAAGAAAAGACTCTCGCCTTGACAACGATGCTTCTTAGCACTGGCATCCAACTGAGCTCTGGGTGCTCGGCAGCCAGACACTGCAACGGACGGATTCGGCGCACTGGCGGCCCCATTTGTACAGGTGACTTGGAGGATGGAGTTCTCCCGAATTCCACAATCGGACAGCCGTCGTTCGTTTGCCAAGGTATGGCCGCTGAGAGTCAGGCGTTGACTATCCAGCTTCAAGCCAGTGAGCTCAGCAATCTTTGTCTTTGCGTGGATGACAAGATCGCATGGCTTTAACTGGATGACAAAAGGCTCCGCAATACCAGATCGAGTCGCATCAATTAAGATATCCAGAAGGCGTGCGTGGCCGACACCGGTCGCGATCGTAACATGAATGCACTGCCGTGCTTCCACGCCGCCATCCAGTAGGGTCTGGCGATTTCCGAGGATTCGGCCCTGGGGCCACAACTTGGTCTACTTATGTCTTCTTACTACTTACGCAATCTCATGTGCTCTTATGCAGTATATTAGCGGCTTTCTGACTACATCTTAGGTCGTTTGAGGGCCTTGTAGGAAAGGGTCATCTCCTCTGCGGGGATTCCAAAGATGCCTTCGGCCACCTGCTTCACGGCGGCAACTCGCAGTGCCAGAACCAGGCGCAGCGGCACCCGCTCACCGCTGATGCCGTTGCCTCAAAGACACAGGACGAGCCGGCCCGGGCCGGAACGCAGGTCGACAGTGCTGCTTTTGCTGCTAGCTTTACCTCTCTGCCGAGGGGCACATGAAAAGAAGACTCGGCTGATCTGTAACTTGGAGCACTGATAGCTTGGCATCGTCTTCTGCCCAGTCTAGGAGTCGCGTGGGCTCGGTCTGGATGGAGCCGCACGAGCGAAACTTCTTGCGGGCCTTATCGAGATACAATCCGCCGACAGTGAGACAATGTGCAGTAACGCTTCTTTTCAACCAAGCGGCTGCATGGGATGTGGGCATGATGGACCGCCATGCAGGTTGTAGATTATGGATGTAACAAAAGGCAGGAAAAACCGCATGAGAACGTGCTCGTGCTTTTGAGTGCACCACTCCAACAACATTTCATGATTTGCTCTATCACTCTAGAGCCTCTGAAGGCTTCATTGCCATGTGTGCTGGATGGCCGGATGAAACAGCTGAGCGGCGATCTCGACAAGTTCTGTGCAGATTAGGTCACCATCTCGGCCCGCATCGCATGCGGGCTAACCGGACAACTGCACACCAAAACATCTACGTAGTCGTGATGGCTGCTACTACTGTACAGCCGCGTAGCCTGCTGCTCAGCTATGCAGGCTAATAATGGAGGGTTGTGGCGAGGGCGAGTCGATGCCAAGCCCAAGGCAAGATCTTTCATGTAAGATCCACAGGTATCTGCTGTTTTCGATCTTACCCTGCAAAGCTTCGCCACTTAACTTCCCCTGAGACACAGCTTCACTACAGCTCCTTTTGAGTCGTCCGGGGCGCAGTCGTCCATCGCATTGCAGGTGCAGCAGAACTCTCTTTCCGACCCCTGCCGATATGAGTTGACAATCTAACCCGTTCCAATCACTAGGCTTTATGCGAACTCTTGCTGCACCCGTGTGGGTCGGATGTTTGTTTCGGCAGGGTGGCAGAAAGGAAGCCTTTTGTTCGTCCCTGGAAATACCCCGGAACTGTGGAGTTCACTGCAGGTTGTATGGTGTAGCATGGTGTATCACGATGAACCTGCTGTGGACCCAGAGTTACCAGAGAACCCAGGGCGCCGTGCCGTCCCCTTCCAGGAGGGATCAGGGATGCAGGCCCGGATGGTCGTTGGCCTAACAATGCAAGTGCCCACAGCAGAGCAGCCTGAGCAGCCTTTCTTGGCACCTGCTCGGCAACCTCATGTCCAGCGCCGCCAAAGGCTTGAGGCCCCTGCCTCGAGCATTCGCGGGGTATTTTCATGCAATCTTAAGCAACATTCATGGCCGGTCGCGCAGGGCAGCAGTGACAGCGAATGCAACTTGAGGACGTGGCATCTCTTTCGAGCTGGCAGGAGCCGTGGGCGCTGTCGGAAACCAAGTCACAGATGATGCCCTCGTTGTCAGAAGGGCACTTTAGGAACTGCGGACGGTACAGGTTTGAGAAAAAAACAAAGACAGGTGGGCGACACACAACACCAAACCGAATGGGGAAGCTGATCACGCGTTGTCGTTGTTCGCCGTGACTAAGACTGTTAACATCACAGACAAAACGGATTGTGCGCAGCTGCTCCGACAATGACTAAATTCTCCGCATGCGTTCTTTTCGACATGTCTCAGAGGACCAGTCGGGTCTCTGCATGGCATGTCACGAAATAACAACGGCCGCGATGCAACAGCGGAATGATTGTGCAATGGTGCTTTATTGTTCGACATTTGACGAAACTTCCGGACCCATACATATAATCCAACAAATGATACCAGTCTCTAGCAGGACGGAGAATGAAGAATGCCGGCAAGTTGCCGAGACTGCTTCTTGTGCAGGCATGCTCGTCACTCGAGCGTGCTTCCTTCGTGTCCTTTGCCACGTGCCACAACTTCACAATCTCTGTCAAGCTGTATGGCAGTCGGAAATGGGTCTGGAATTAGTTTGGGATTTTTTTTTTTCATTTTTTTTTTTTGGTGGTTTGCTTGGCCGATCCCTGTGGAGGGTTCATCGGGGACGTAGAAAATTTGCACCGCACCACAGCGCCAGCGCTTCGACGCGCAGGATCCCTGTGGAGGGTTCATCGGAGTTTCCTTGATGTCGTCGTGGTCGTCGTCCTGGTTGTTGTTGTTGTTGTTGCTGTTGCTCTTGCTGTTGCTGTTGTTGTTGATGATGTTGTTGTTGGTCGTGGTTGTTGTTGTTGCTGCTGCTGTTGTTGTTGTTGTTGCTGTTGTTGCTGTTGTTGTTGTTGTCGTTGGTTGCTGTTGTTGTGGTTGTGGTTGTGCTTGTGGTTGACAGGGTGAGGGATCAAAAAAAATTTAAATAAGGATCAAAAGATTAACGCACCAGGGTCAAAAAACTAAAACAATGATGAAAAAAATAAGTCACGTAAAATACAGCAATTCCTGGGGCAGAGGCATAAAAGAAAACAAAATAAGGATCAACAAAATTGAATCACTCAAAATACAGCAATTCCTGAATTTCCCAAGGGAAAACATTATTTTCCTATGGATTTTCTTTCATTTCCTTAGGATCTGATTGGTTTTCCTCGGGGAAACACGATTTTCCTACGGATTCCGTGGTATTTCCTGAAATTTTCCCTGGTTTTCCCTAGGACAAACACCATTTTTCTATTACCTATGGCATTCGTGTCATTTCTTCAGGTTTTCAGAAGGAAAACATACGTTATCTTTGGTTGTTCCTCGGGAAAATCAAATTTTCGTTGCAATTTCGCATTAGGACGGAATTCGTGTTGTAGCTGTTGCTGGTATTCCGCTTCATCACCTATCTTAAACACACCCCCTCATTTGGCGATTCTGGTTAGCGGGGGGGTTGGGGGGGGCGCAGCCCCCCCCCATTTGCAGACACAACGCTCACATGATGGGTTTCGAAAACACTGTTTGAATCAAGCTTGCACGGCTCGAAAAACGCGGCGGTGGGTCTTTCGTTCTTCCGTGCCTGTTCGTGTCTCTTCTTCCGTCAGCATTCTATAACATAATATAACATAGTAAACCATAAGAACGACATAAGATGGTTCGACATCACAAAAACCGTGTGACATTTTCTGACATAACAGACCCTTGCTTCTTATAGCATCTAATAAACATAACAAAAGACGACAATACAATATAACAGAAGATAACATAGAACAAAACAAGATCTTAGTTTATAGTGTAGTACATTGTAACATAGTACAATATAGTTTTTATATATAGAACATAATATTTGCTATATAATATAACATCAGGTTACATTATGCTAAATATTTTAGGGTCCATTACGATATTATTGCATATTCGATTGGACTATGTAGTATTCTATTGCTTGTATCTTTGTTTCTGTGATTCTTTCATGTTCTTTCTCTTTCGTATTTTCCAACTTTGCCTGTTTATTCTGGATTTATTTCTTTCTTTCGCTCGTTCATTTCTTTTATTTCTTTCTGGTGTTCTTTCTTTATTCATTTCATCCTCCCTTCCTTCCTTTCTTTCTTGCTTTCTTTTTCATTTATTTCGTTCTTTTTCTCGTCCTTTCTTTCTTTCGTCCTGTCTTCGTTTCTTTCTTTCTTTTCAGATACAGCAATTCTTGAATTTTTCCAAGGGAGAACACTGTTTTCCTATGGATTCTCTTTCATTTCCTAAGGATTTGCTTGGTTTCTCCTCTGGGAGATGTCATTTCTTCAGGTTTTCAGAAGGAAAACATACGTTATCTTTGGTTGTTCCTCGGGAAAATCAAATTTTCGTTACAATTTCGCATTTAGGACGGAATTCGTGTTGTAGCTGTTGCTGGTATTCCGCTTCATCACCTATCTTAAACACACCCCCTCATTTGGCGATTCTGGTTAGCGGGGGGGTTGGGGGGGCGCAGCCCCCCATTTGCAGACACAACGCTCACATGATGGGTTTCGAAAACACTGTTTGAATCAAGCTTGCACGGCTCGAAAAGCGCGGCGGTGGGTCTTTCGTTCTTCCGTGCCTGTTCGTGTCTCGTCTTCCGTTAGCACTCTATAACATAATATAACATAGTAAACCATAAGAACGACATAAGATGGTTCGACATCACAAAAATAGTGCGACATTTTCTGACATAACAGAACCTTGCTTCCTATAGCATATAATAACATAATAAAAGACGACGATACAACATAACAGAAGATAACATAAAACAAAACAACATCTTAGTTAATTTATGTCATTTCGTCTTTCTTTATTTCTCCATTTTTTGTTCATTCGTTATGTCTGTATTATTTGCTTTTCTTTGTTTCTAACTCTCGTTCGTCCTTTCCTTGTGTTTTCTTTTTCTTTCCTTATAGCTTTCTTTATTTATCTATTTGTGTATTTTTGATTTCTTTCTTTCCTTATAACTATGCTTTATGTATTTCGTTCTTTCTTGCTTTCTTGCTTTCTTCCGCTCTTTCTTTGTTTCGTTCTTTCTTTCTTTATGTTTCTTTATCGCTCTCTCTCTGTCTTTCTTTCTTTCCTTCGTTCTTTCTTTCTGTTTTTTTTTCTCTCTCTCTCTCTCTCTTCTTTCCTCCGTTACCCCCCCCTCCTTTCGTGGATACCTGTTTAATTTTTTTGTGATCCTTATTTAATTTCTTTTTGATCCTTATTTTATTTTTTTGATCCTTATTTAATTTGTTTTTAACCCCTATGACGTGGTTGTGGTTGTGGCTGTGGCAGAGGACTAGGGGACCGCATGCACCAGGGGACCAGGAGACCACGGGACCAGAGGACCAGCAGACCAGGGGACCACAGGACCAGAGGACTAGGGGACCGCGAGCAGAGGACCAGGGGACCACAAGACCAAGGACCAGAGGACTAGGTGACCGCATGCACAAGGGACCCTTGGCCGCACCTCGCAAACAAGGGTAGGCCGCACCTTGGGAAAAAAAAAAAACCATGGCCCCTATCCCGCTTTACTGACCTAAATTCGCCTCGGCTCGGCTTAGGGTTGAGGGCGTGACTTCAGGACTGATTTATGAGGCTCTCTATGCCGAAGAAAAAAGCCAAGAAGCCGAAAAGCCAAGAAGCCAGAGGCCAAGAAGCCAGGGAAGCCGAGAAGCCAAGCCAAGCGCGCACACAAGCCAAAAAAAAATAAATGCAAAAAAAACAAATCCCTAAAATAAATACGCCTCCGTCGGAAATTCCCCGCCGGTGGACCTCGAAAGCGCTTTCGAGAGAAGCCCAGGATCAAGTGGAAGTCCTTGACTTTTCAAGGATTCCGGACAGCTCTGTGGCTGCATGATTGGACTGATCACTGCATTCCCTCGGAAGTCCTCCAAAGTAATGCACGTGCAACCTTGGATGCATGCCTTGTAA